ATAATAATAATAATAATAATAATAATAATAATAATAATAATAATAATAATAATAATTAACTGAGAAGTTACACTGTGGGGAGGAAAAAATGAAGAAAAAAAAAGAGTTAAAAAAGCTGAGTTTTGCCACTAAACTCTAGGTTTGGGAAAAGGAGCATTTTTAAGTGACGACTTCTTAAGATTAAACTTTGTATGTTTAGTGGAGTCAGAATCAGGGGGAGAGCCTGGAACTGATATTAATCTGTTTACAAACGGCCGGTAACAATGTGGGGTAGTAAAAAAAACTAAAAAACAAACCCGACATTTATCCGTGCTCCCTAAGAAACCTGCACAGTTCGTTATGGCCTCCACACACTCGTATCTGGGTTTCTGATCTTTAACTCATTGACTGCCAAAGTCGTCTATAGAGGTCTTTTATGTTTTTAACGAGAGTGTCTGGGGGACGATCTGCTAAAGTTTGTCCGTAAATATGGGCTTCTAGACAGAGTATGTAGTAACAAATTGAGCCTCTAGGGGGCAGTGCCACTTTTGATGGGAGATGAGCATAGACTGTAGGCAAATAAGAAAAAGGGAACGGTTCTATGAGAGAACATGTCGCCGGTGAGACGCAAGTCCAGGAAGAACGGAATAAGGTAGAAACACATTTTTTTTCCTGATGAAAGAAGAGAGTCTACTCTTTCTTTTGGTGTGTTCGGTGTTTACATAGTCATAGCACAAACTATTCTGTGGCTCTGGAAAAATCAGTCAAAATGCTCAAAGAACTCTGGCAGTATGGGACTCTGTTCTGAAAATGGCTGCCAGTCAATGAGTTAAGATTCAAACCCCTGCTGCTGTGAATGATTCATGAAACATACAGTGGGGGAAATAAGTATTTGACCCTTGCTGATTTTGCAGGATTCCCCACTTACAAAGAATGCTTATTTTTCCTCATCAGATGGTTATCAATTTTTATAAATTCTTATGATGTGATTTTCTGGAATTTTCTTTGGGATTCTGTCTTTCACTGTTAGAATGTACATACGATTAAAATTGTAGATTGTTGCATTCTTTGTAAGTGGGCAAACCTGCAAAATCAGCAAGGGGTCAAATACTTATTTCCCCCACT